CTGAAACGGTATGTTGATCCAGAAGAGATCACATATCCACATCGGTCTAACGAGACCGATGATGACGTCGACTGTGAGTCGAGCGTCGAGGCCGATCAGGCGACGAGGAAGCCGAGAGGCTCCCCGTATACGAGCGAGGCGATAGAGGACTCGGCGATAGAGGACTCGGCGATCGAGGAGGACTCCGCGCTTGACGCGGGTCTCTCATCACCAGTCGCTCTAACGGATCCAACCGAAGCTTCAGGCGGTCATACCCATGATGGTCCCTCGCCCTCACATCGCGCAGATTCGAAGTCAGTCGCGAGACTTGACTCTCGAGTTCTGTCATCTGCCTCTTCAACGCAGCGTACTCAGCCTGCGACTGAACAGCAGCAGGGTAGGCAGCCGCGAGTAGGTGGGCGTATTCGCCACTCCTATCGGGCGCCACCTGTGTTGGTGGACACGTATGGGAACTAGTGGATTATTTTTTTCAATTGTTTGTTTATATACGCGCTTCCTTGTTGGAAGGATGTTGGTCCACCGGTTTGTGAAGCGAAAGCTCCAAATCCTGGTCCAGTGGAAGGGTTACCCAACGAGCTTTGACTCGTGAGAGCCTGTGGATGCTTTGCGTGAGACGTGCCTGGGCTGGTGGCTGCTTATGTGAAGCAGCACCAGCTGACGTCTTTCTGCTAGACCCGGATGGACTAGCAGAAGAAGCGTATCGAGAATCAATTGGGGGTCGCTTACCACCCAAGATTTCATGCGCACGCTTCATGGCGAAGCTGATTCGCTGCGACCGTTGTTTCGTTGCATCTACATGCAAGGTGATACGGCGCCAAAACTCAGCTTCATATTCGTCGGCTGTTTCGTTAGAACGCAGCACGACTGGAATTGGGAAAGCACGACTAAGTGCTTTGCCCTGCTTTTTCCACAAAGGAAAGACGCTATAAAATTTATGAGCGTCAATAGTGGTACGCTGCAAAAGCGCTGCACTAGACCCATCCAAGTCATCCACTCAGATGGAGGTGGCATTGGTGGTAAGCCACCACTCACCTCGCGACGGCGGGCTAGTGAGGCCGAAAATGTACTCGGTGGAGCTTTAAGCTCACACTCACCTGAGTCTGACTCTCCATTATAGATTGCCAAGACATCAGCTTGAGAAGTTACATCTGACTGAGTCGCGACTACTCCTTTCGATGTAGCGTGCTCAGTCTTAGTCGCTGCGCTCGTAGGCGCAGGCGACGAGGCTTTACCTTCGCTTGCAGGAGCATAGACGCTCCCTCAAGGACGGGTGCCTCAAATGGTGGGGACATATGTCCCATCAATGCGCTTTGCTCATTGCCACTTTGGGGTGATGGCAATGGCGTACATCTCATTGTAGTCTACAATGAGAGATGGATCTTCATCCACATTATAGTGAGATGGAAGATTTGTCTCAGTGCCTGAAGCACTTTGCGACGGCTGCGATAAATCGCGGCGCGTGCGCTTAGTGCTGGACTGCATGGGTGCCTTTGCAGGCGACCAATCAGCCTTACCACGTTTCGGTGGCATGAGAATTGAACAGACTAAAGCGGCGCGTTTATAACGGCTCGCAAGTCTCTCTGTCTCCTAGGCGATTTTTTACAAAATGTAAAAATCATTCTAAAAGGGGGGATGGTGTAACAGGGCATCTAGTTACACGCAAACATTAAGTAATATACTTAATGTTTGGTCTAAAGGTATCCATAATTACTTTTGACCTGTCACTTGGGTGCGATACACAAACGTGATCCACCTTCATGAATGTGATATCCATTTATGGATTCACATGGGAAGGGGATGACGCTAGTTGAAGCTAGGTATCGCGACGTCTCAGAAGGACGTCAGTTGCAATCTTAAATCTATATTTAAGTTCATGCGAAAGGATACGCTTCTAAAGAGTCGCGTATCCGATCAATATATATATAGCCAATCAGTAGTTAAGTTTACATTTAATTATAATTCAATAAATATAGCTCAGTCTTAAATTTGCTAACACAACAAAAACGCGCACGAGAAGCTAAAGATGCTTCTGCGTCACGCCGGTGACTTGTTGTTTAAAAGTTCGTTGCACTCTCGCTAAAGCGAGAGGCAACTGGTGATACGACTGCTTAAGCAGTCGATTAACCTCCTAACCACCCTCGAACACGAAGGTATGACTGTAGTGAAGTGGGATTTTGCAAAATTGCTGATGCGATTCCAACTCTCCACTGGCGCCTGGACGACCGAATAACGGAGGGGGTACCCCGATTCCGTGTATAAAGCCTTCCTCACCTTGTGTACCCGTCGGTAGGGCGGGTTGCTCTCTTCTCGGTGGACTTGAGTCGATTTTGATCCTAATCGGGTTAGGGATAGGGAGGTTTGGTGATCTTGTGGAAACCTTTACAAGATCGACCGAGTATTTCTCTGTTGATCGTACCAATAGATCCCAATCGTCCAATAAAGCGAAGCTTGAATCTTCTGACCACTTGAGCAAAACCTTCTGACCACTTGATCCGTCCTGCACTTGCTTGCCTTGCCCTTACTTGTTGTTTCTGCGTCCGATCGCAGTTGAGTTGTTGTGTTGAGAATTCCTTCACCTGGCCAAACAATCCAGGGTGCACTTGTAGTCGATATTTTCGGCGTCGGGAGGCCAAATATCCTGCCCGGAATAGAGAAGTCGACACGTGTACTTAGAAGCAAATTGAACTCTGTTTAATGTTAACCAATCAAATACCAAAACCTATGATCTTGCCTATCTGTAGCTCAGGATCTATTGCCACGTATCGCCCTTTCGGAGACATCAGATCTTGTAATGTGGTCCACTCCAATATCGCCGCGATCTGAATCGCTACCTCGATTGGATCTAATACCATTTTTGTATCGGATCGCGGTACTAATAATTAGTATCGGATCGCAGTACTAAATAATTAGTATCGGATCGCGGTCCGCCGGATCACGACTTGTCCTCCTCACCGTTCCTCGGGTCATGTGAAATGGTACATCTATATGACATGTCATGTCCACCTTATTTCAGTCTTCCATAGCGACGTGATCTACACCAGACCGTCTTCTACATACTTGGATGTACCAATCCTCCTTCTTGGCGATCGCGTTCACGCGGATCACCATCGAAAAACACCGGAGATCGCAATTGCGTAGTTTCTAGGCCATAGTTAACCCACCTAAAACTGCGAACTTCACCATTCAATGTTTTCCATCCCATTTGCCATCATCTCGAAACTTTTCTGCGAGATCGCGATTCATCAATATTGACCATTTCGGACTTATCCGAAAATATGCGATCACACTTTGCCAAATTCACTCTTTCGCTTCGCCACAAGACGATCTAACCGCTTCCTCGCTTTTGCTGAAGGTGTATGCTAGTAGCGAGAGGCAACTTCGTAGAAGTGCCCGTCTACAGTTCACCCGTCGTTTTGACGGATATGGTGCACGAAGTCTACGCTGATAGAATATAGATTTAAATATATTATCAAAAAAATCCAGTTGCCTTGGGTAAATTGAAATGTATGAAACAAAGTGTATAGGAAGTTCTTTGGTTATCTGTCGTACCGCAGGTCGATGTGTACCTGTCGCTCCGTCGGACATGGCGAGTGAAGTCTGTCTTTTAAACTCTTACCCGTCTTTTTATTTTACAACATTCGTTTGAGTTAGAAATATCACAAAGTATGATACTTTACTTTTGGGTAACTTCGCTTATTGTAGCTGAATCCACTTTAACCTAATTTTAACGCTTTCTTTTGCCAGTTTTAGTGTATTATTTAAGCACCAAGGTCATGTTTTCAACAAATTTACAGCATGTGCCTAATCTTATATCTCACCAAAATTCTGTGTTTGATATAGCAACATGTAATGATGTGTATACGTTGATGTGTATCCATCGGTTGTGGATTAATCATATAAAACGAAGCACGGAATGCGGACACACTAATATATTCTGTCATGGAAATCTGATAATGTTTTTATTTATGCAAATTACAATATCAGCCAATGCAAAATTAGCAAAAAATGCAAAATTAGCCAATCCGAATGCCGGAAAAGAAGCACTACGGACGGACGGACAAACACAATTCTTTTATTATAGAGAAGACAGACAGTAAAGTATTATAATATAGATTAACCCTGTATTGATATACGACGTTTAACCCGTTACATAAGCTATCTGCTATTATACAAGCAAAGTAATGAGATACAACTGCCAGTTAACATGACTCTACCGCAAATGATCGAACCATATTGTTTGGTAGTCTGCAACCCTGCATGTTAATAGCGCGGGTAACATGGGTAATAACCCGCGGGTATGAGTTCGAGTCGTGGATAAGGCCATTACCCAACCCAAATTCATGGGTACCACCTCTAGTGAGCATCACCTCCTCTATCTTAACTCGATTCATAAGCACCGAATCCACTAACTTTTGCTCTTAATCCACATAGCACGGTCTAGTCTGAATCATATCCTGCAATTGCACTCCATGCAGCCCTAGCAAAAGCACTAAAAGCCCTTTGCCGCTGTCCTCCATGCGCGTGACCTACAAAACGCAAGCTACTGTCCCGACGCTTGGAATCACGAACTACACCTCCTTTTTGTCGTAGCTAGCATCTGCTTAGCGAAAGCGACGTAGTTGTCGTCTCAATGCGTCGCGACGTCTTTAGGACACAAATTTCGTATACACTTCCTCAAAAACAAGTCCAGCGCTAACGCTGAGGTGATGGCAATGCGCAGAAATGTCCGCGTCTAGAGGCATATTGGCCAACTGCGTGGCTATGGAAGTCGTTCGATCTGTAACTTAAGTGAGGAATACAAGATTAGAATGAAGAGTAATTGCAATGCTTCAATTTAACAATCAAGAGAAAAAAGGAAAACTGTCAAAATGGTTTCTTGAGATACATGTATACGCATTGACCATAACTCTATCCTGATCGCTAAAATAAATTCATCATGTCAATTAAAGCCAAAGTATATTATGATAAGACACAATGTACCTTACAATGGATCCTTTACCTTAGGGGGCCGTCTTCTTGGAAGGCTTAGTGTCCTTATCGTCCTCCTCAATTTCCGACTGCTGTATGTTCGGGTCCTCTTCATCACTCAAGATTTTTTTGGCCTTAATGTTGCGGCCATTAGATAGAATCGGGTCGTCTTGGGCCACTTCCGATTCTTCCTTAACATTACGAGGAGACTTGTCCTTCAATCCGGTGTCCGTATTGCCGGCCTTGTACTGCTTTCCCTTGACAAAAGCGTTCAGTTCTTTCATCATCGAATCAAAACTATCGTTGCCACCATCGTCAGAGACATGTTTGGAATTTTTGTTGTCAGGCTTCTCGAATTTCTTTGATTCATCGTCGGAATCGGCATCCTTATCACTGTCGTCGTCATCAGGGTCAGCGTTCTGCGTTATAGATTTCGTTCTGCTCTTTCTACTTGAATGACTAGGGTCATCGCCTTCAAATAACTTGGCTTCTATAATATCATCAAATCGAACCTGGCCTTTTCCGTTTCCGATCAAATCCATGATGTTGACTTTGCCAGAGGTGGCGAAGTCGGCCAAGCGAACAGTCAATTTGTCTTCGTTTTTTTTGGAATCCTGCGAGTCCGCATCTATGACCTCATCTTCATTGATTGCTGTTGAACGAAGATACTTTGATTGGTCGGCGTATGAGGATGTAACTGCGAGGGCTACAGCCACAAGTACGGTGAATACCTTCATCTTCTTATTATTCTTGAGGCAACTGTGTTTTGCTGAACTGAGCAAATTGGAAAATGAACAGCAGAGAAGAAGGTTGCTAGACTCCCATCTGCGCATAATTCAATCCGGAGCAGACTCCATCCTAAGATTAGATCTCATCATAGTCTCCTACATATTATTTTCGCTGATGCACGATCCTAATGTTCCCCATCCGCTAAGATGTCGTCTGCTAGCATCCATCGGGTGAAGGCAGTTTAAATGCTATAGTTACCGTGTTTATATTCATTTACGAGGGTGAAATCCAGTCATTGAGTAACAAGAAATTAACAATCTACGACTTTGCCAAGACCCGTTTTTTATTCATAACAAACTGACCGCAGTATGACTTCTGTGCTGTAATGCAGTCCTGCGGTGCAAGAGATTGCAGCATTCTGTGCGTGACTATATCCAATAAAAGCAGATCGCCAAATCGGATCCTTGTGACTTCGACGATTCGTAATGAGCTGCGCAACAAAGCCGTATAATCTTGAAATCCTCCGATGTGACGAGAACTCACCCTCCAAATGGACAGCACCTGCGCCTCTATATTGTGTAATAATTATACACCAGAGAGAGAAGCGATTAACACGAAGCATGAGAAATGTTTTAAAAGGGTCTGACAAGCATCGTAAATGCAGCCATCGCGCCACCACTGGATAGACGGAGTTAAACACTGTATATTTTACGTAAATTGACATCGTGTTGTAAGCTCTAATACGCGATTATTTCACGCGAGCGTATCAACGTAAGTTCGATCATCTGCGGTAGAGTCATGTCAATTGGCAGTTGTATCTCATTACTTCGCTTGTAAAATAGCAAATAGCTTATGTAACAGGTTAAACGTCATAAACAACACAGGGAAGGAAAACACGTGGCAGTAGATCCTAGTCTACAGATAGGCAGAATCGTAGGTTTTGGTATATGATTGGTTAAAATTAAACAGAGTTCGATTATACTTTAAGACACGCAAGCTTCTTGTAACGGGGTTACACGACGGTTGTAGCGTCTTTCCGAGAGTTTACGGTTAAACTCCCCTTTGTATTGCATATAATGCATTATTATACTTCTCTTTAGAGAGGTATTAAGTATGAGCGTTAAGATACGGTATTCGGTAATACCGTATCTTATCGATTTGGATTCGATAAATCACTAACGCTATATTAAGTACATCATACACAAATGTTTAGACGATACGTCGTCCAATAGCAAAGTCTGCATATAATAATTACTATTCTAGTAATTAATCTAGTGTAGTGTACTTAGAGTAGGACTATTCATAAAATCTTAAAGTATAACTAAAATCAGTTCTCCTTTTGAGTTTAAGATCGCAAGTCGTTTTGACTTGCTCTCTTGTGCACTTCGTGCGTTGGTTCTCTGAACCCCTAAGCTTCTAGCTTGTTCTGCCCTCTGTGCGTTGGTTCTCTGAACCTTAAGCTTATTGCTTGCTGACTAAAAGTCTCTCCTACTTCCTTAGAAGAGGGTGACTTTAAGTCGTTTAATTAGTTCCTTAGAACTAAGTGGCTTTTAGCCTTCACTCTATTTAGTTCTCTAGAACTAAGAGGCCTCCAGCCGAAAGTCTTCCTCTGGCTAAAGAGCTGTGCAGCTCCGCTACACTTCTCTTCCAGGTGGGATAACTTTGGCCCCCCGACGACTCAAGAGCATCTGCGACGCTACGACACAAGTGATATCCCTGGATTGTTTGGCCAGGTATTACAAGAATTTTCTAAACAAGCAACTCCCCTGCGATTGAACGCAGCATAACAAGAAAAGGACAAGGTAAACGGTGGACTTGAGTCGATGCTGAACTTAACCGTGTTTGGGATAGGTTGGGGGTCATCCGTGCGGAAGTCTTCGCGCGGTCTAGGAGTTCATGTAGGTTCTCTATCCGAGTTTCCCTGATCTCTCTTGAGATCGCCTTGTCCAAAGATGTAGATACTTGATCCACTTAGTATACTTGATTTTCTGACCACTTGAGCTGTAACGGGGCTAGAACGTACCGTCACTAGCTTGCACGCGCGTTCGAGGAAGACTCAAGCCCAAGTATTAGGTATTAGGTAAATTTAACTCTGATTTTTATTTTGGTTTTAATTCGTACTAATTACGAAGATTTATAGTCGTAATAAATACGACAGTGTTCCCGCCTTTCGGGAACCACACAATTTCAGGTTGATTCATCATTGGTCCATATTGGGGACTTTAGGCCGAATAATAAACCAATAATAAATTACCACGCTGTGCCCGCTATTCGGGCCCAGCACCTGCCTACATATGTAATTGTTTATTTGTGTTAATACTATGTGTGTAATGTAGCCCATTACATCACCCCCTTCTCCTGACAGCACTCACCAACCATGAGTGCTCAACTGTCGAAAACCCTTCGCTCACAAACGAACAAGCAATGTCCGGAGACCCAACACCCAATCTAGTAGAACTCTCAAGAAACATCAGCGGGAATACATCAACCAGCATCATGGCGCGGCAGCTCATACCTTGGTCACTGTACGACTTGTCCGTAGCTCACGCTCCGGACTCGCTGGACACGATGCGGGACTACTTCCGCCGATTTCGAAAACTGCGCGGGAAAGGTCTTGATGGAATCGAGCATGAAGCCCTGCAACGTTCTTGGTGTACCTTCATCCAACGTTGGAATCGGATGCTCGAGGATGGTAGCAGCTTCCAATTATGGCTCGCCAATCGAGAGGAGCTTCGCGCCGATCACTCCATCGGCGCGCTACGCGAAAGAGTGTGTGAGGATGCTTGGAATGAGGACCGTCTCTGATTCGTCCATGTCAATGAAGGATGCCAATCTTGTGACTCTATTTCACGCCCACTCATGACGAATGGAGACGACACATCGCTGAGTGTCCACTCAGTGATCGCGAACGAAGTTGGATTGCAAAGTGTGAGCGAAGTCTGAGCAAACGGAGAAGCGCAGTTATTCGTGGTGCGCCTCGCTGGCAGCACCACTCGCGACAGCGGAGTCAATCTACGCAGAATCATCAGAGCAGGGCAGCGACACGTTCGCCTGCCCGTCCTGCTGCGCGATTCTCGCCTCGCAATCGTGATATGTATTCACCGCGACGTTCTCGTTCACGGCATCGTTCTCGTTCACGACATCGTTCTCGTTCGCGTCATCGTTCTCGTTCTCGACGACGTAGATCTCCTTACCGCTCTCGTTTTTCACGAGAGCGTTCGCGTGCTCGCCCGCATTGGAATAGCCCGACTTCGTGGCGTCATACGACAGAACCACATCTGGAACGTCACGAAGGAGTAAGGAACGTGGTTCCCATGTATACTGCTCAGGAGGGAATCCAAGCCAACGTACTCGGTACCTACGCACGGATGGAACCGCGCGCTTCTCATGAGCCGACTGCAGTGCTGGTTGTGGAGGGTCCTCGTGACCCACAATGCGGTCTACAATCCAGCGCACCTGTCCCTCCGCATCAACAAGCGGAGGAGGGCCCTCGCGATGGTAATGCTGGCGTCCTGGTTGCTCAGGACGATGTTGATCAGGCCGTGAATATAGCTGCCGATGCTCGGCTGGAGGCTGAGGCTGCCAGTGAACGTGCTGCCCAGGCGGAGAAGACTTCGAGTGAGAACCGACAATCGAACCGTGAACTGCTCGAGCGGATAAGGATTCTGGAGCGCCAGATGTTTGGTCAGGTTCAGACGGGATCGAGACCCCGCCCCATGTCATCGGCGCGTCGAGCACGACGGGAAGGCCGTTCGACTTACGAACCCCTGAAGCCGGCGTCGGAGCCAAACCGTGAAGCGTAGCCGGACGATATTCATTCAGCCGCCCGACATAGAATGTATGGTGGAGTCGCAGTGATGAGGGTACGTAGAGTGTATAAGCGTCGCCGATTGCCTTCAGAACCTTGAATGGACCGATGAAGCGTGGCGCGAGTTTACTCGCGCCCAGATTAGTGACCGCAGAATCCCTTAAACCTTCCGTAGATAATAATACACGATCACCTTTCTCAAACTTGCTCATGTTCTTTCTTCCATGCTTGTCAGCGTTCTCCTTCTGTTGGTCTACAGCAGTTTGTAGTGCGTCGCGTACAAACCGGGTGATGGCTTGACGTTGGAGTATGAATTCCGACACGGCCATGTCATCAATTGGTCGCGCCAACTCAATCGGCGTGTAGTTGGCAGTAGGTGAACGTTTACCCGAAGACGGGTCCAATAAGTTTCTGCGCAGTCCATCGAGCTAATGGGGACGCACGTCTGATGGCGTCAAAATGGCCGTCTTTGCCTTGGATCGGGTTACCGCATTCGCGCTCAAAATACCGTGAGCTGCACTCGATCCTTGTTTATCACCTTTATCCCCCCCAGAGTGGAGCCACTAGGTGTTGTGGGTCGCCCCACGGCCAAGACAGTAGGAACACGAGGGTGACGAGCCGAATTCACAAAAAATGGTGTCAGCCCTGTTGACGCGTGTACGGCGTTGTTGAGTGCGAACTCAACGAGTGGTAAAAATGCACTCCAACTTGTAAATGACGTAGCATAACTTCGAAGAACGTCTTCGAGGACCTGGTTCACGCGCTCGGTCTGCCCATCCGTTTCCGGATGGGCCGCAGTCGACATCAGCAGTTTTGTCCCGAGGAGCTCGAACAGTGACGTCCAAAATGCGGACGTAAATCGCGGATCACGGTCCGAAACAATGTTTTCTGGAAGGCCATAATGACGAAACACCCCGTCGATGAAGTGCGCCGCGGTCTCTGCCGCGGTGACCTTAGCGTGAACATGCACGAGATGTGTCATCTTGCTGAATCTGTCAACGAAGACCAAGATGCCCGTTCGAGCTTGGCTATCGGGCGCAACCTCGAAGATGAAGTCCATCGAAATTAATCTCCAGGCCTCTGATGTGATTGGCAACGATCGTAAGGGAGCCTGTGACGATGGAGATGGCTTCACACGCTGATAATTCCCACGTTCGGATTCAGTTGCGTACTCACTTATACATGTGGGGCCAGAAGAAG